TAATGGATTATAAGAGAACTAACAAACTGGTAAGGTTTTAAAACATTTTCGTCTTAATTCTTTTATTGCCTTAATTATTTTTGCGGTGAAATGTTGTGTAATAAGTGGTTTGACTGCACCGTTTTCCTTAAATGTCCGTCTTGTTTGAATTTGCCGCTTGCTCGTAACTGCTGTCTTCACGGAAGCTTTGCGTTCAAATATTTCAACTCAAATCAATATTTCGCGTCTAATTATTTACTTAAGTGCCAAGTAACCGTGTAATAAGCGGGATAATGTACATCCAGCCGGTTGTTATCTCAGAATAAACCCCTTCAGGCTGATACAAGACCCCTCCTAATCACCCTGTCGGGGTTTATTCTGAGATAACAACTGGCTGGATGTACATTATCCCTTACTTAAAGTTGATCTATTTAGGTGAAAGAAAATACACAACTGGTCATTTTTGGGGAATAGTTAAAGGGGTCATAGGATGCTACATGCACTTTTACAAGTTGTTACACACACACACACACACACACACACACACAGACAGCTGTCTCAACAGATGGCCAAAGAGGGGTTTAAACTACCCAACACACACACACATGACACAGTCATAATGTCTGCGTGAGTCAGGTGAGGGTGCATGACCCACGGGAAAGGTCACAGAGTTTAAAGACAGGCATGATAACAGAAATGAATCACCGTTTGAATTGAGATACAGACATTTCAGATGAACAGGAGCTCTCAGCATGCATGCAAAGGAGAATGTGCAATCTAAAGTCATTAAATATTTACAAAACTATATCCCAGATCATAATAGAGGTTTGATCAGATTGAGACAATGAGAAGAATACTGTTATGTGCCTGAATAACATACAAGCACTCTTTCTGAGTAAAACATTTCATTAAAATGAATTTGTTATTTTAGATGATACATGTAAGAAATGATAAAAAGTATTAATACTTTGTGGCTGTCAAACGTTAGTGGATGATTCTGACAGTTAATGTGATTCTTTACACGTGTGGTTCCTCTGCTAGGACACCAGTGTGAACTTGACTTCATATTCATACATCCACTAAAATCACCCTGAGACCAGCTGGTTAAAAAGCTTTGCTACAACTAATATTTTATGCACCAATTCACCTATATAACTCCTACAGGTCATAGCACATTTTGCTGTTGTCTTAAAATTGAGTTGGAGATGAAAGATCATGAGAAACATGTTCATCTAATCCTGTCAATCACAAAGCACATTTATCGTCACGCTTGTGAAAAATCATCCAGGATTTCTCCAATACCCCAACTCAACATCCATCGTTCTTCATTTCAATAATACATGAAATATCGTTTAATCATTATTAAGTAGTCTGGGGGAAGATCTGGAGCGTGAGTTGAATCTCATCTCACTCAATGATTACACTAATGTTATATTTAGCTAACCAAGAGATGTCTATGTTATTACAAAAATGGTTACTCAACGTGCATTACTATTGTTCAAAGACTTTATGTTTATTTGTCAGTTTCACAAATGATTCAAACGTACAACAGAATTAAGTACCTAAACCCACTGCAATAGTGTACATTACAGAGATGCTGGTCTGAAATGCTGTGAAATAATAAAATCATTATACAATTGATCAAATATTTGTAATTATACAGAAAAATGAAAATGCTACAGTAAAAACCTGTTAACTGGTTCACTCTAACTTTCCTTACTATATGGTGAAAAATTGTAAATGGTGATGTGCATTATTTGTAATGCTACCGTAAAATACTGTAAAATGTATGGTTTTTGGAAGCAAAAACAAAAAAGTGAAAGGACATTTATATCCTCTGTGCGACATATTAATATACTACGTATAGTATTTTTAATAGTTGTTTGTTTGTATTTTTGATATCAGTAATGTACATTAGGGTGTTTAGTGTTACATTATCTGTTATTTAGTGAATGCTTATTGCATTATTTTAGTGCTGTGTGTTACCCTGATGGTTATATATAAAATATACATATATGAGTATTAATTATGCTTATTACGATGAGCTCTGATTCATCATGTGGATTTCTGTTCTGGATTTCTTGTATTATCAAAGTGGCTATGTAGAAGTAGATTCAAGTAGATTGGTACTATTAACATTATATCACTTACAGAAATATACGATTATAATTTGTAAACTATATATCCCGTTATACCTGAAAAACTGTCTCTGGCAACCTCAGCTGCAAGTTTTTTACAATATACAGCACAGGATATTTTATTACAGTGTACACAATGTCAATGATCTTAAGTTCTTCTCAGTTAATTATTTGTATAACATTCTTACTTTTGCAATCCCAAACAGATTGTTATTACAGTAAATTCTAATGATGCTCAAATGCAACCTGCAGACTTTTATGCCATGTCTGTCCTGATTTTAGGGGAAATCTGGTTAGATATTGGGTTAAGACTTTGTTAGTTTGGAAGAATGTTGTTTCAGGACCAACAAGACTTTCTGATCCAGGAACATGCCCTACTTGGCAAACTACAGTCACCTTCTGTTTAGAGTTGGCGAGGGGTTATTTTTTACATCAGTTTAACTGAAATACCTCACATATGCTTCAAAATAGTCCATCTTGTCTTGTTTTTGTGCTTAACATTCTCCTTATCATTATGACCTTTATGAAAAGGAAAAATTTAATCTAGTTTTTAAAGCAATGAAAGTGGTGCTGCGTCTCTGCTGTGGGGATCGAGTGAACTGCACGTGTGTGCTTTGTCATCTGTTCTCCTGCCCACTCCCCCACACACACACATGCTCACACACTATTTGCCTTCCTCCACACTTCCTCAGGCCCCTGTGACGTCTCCTTTTGATGATGTCGTAAAGGGGGCATGACCCCACGCATTGACTCGCAGATGGCAGCACAATGGCTTTAAAGCAGACGTGCAGGAGCAGTGATTACAGACACCCACTGACGAACACACACACCCCACACCTGCCACACACACAAACAGTGTATACACAACCGGGCTGCTATCTGCCCCAGGACCGAATATTGCCTCCCTCGGGGCCGGTTATGTGAGGAACCTGGAAATGCCATCGCATGAACGAGCATCTCACAACATGGATGCATATGTGTGAATGCGATTACAACAAAACAGTCCTTCAGGCTGCTATATACCAAAACGTTATGATGGAATAAGTGGGTATCTTTAAAATCAAATCATGATGTAAATACTTATAAATATCCAAGTGACGCGTGTCAGACTCTTTGTACACCACCATTAAAAATTTAGGGTCGGTAAGATTTTTAAATCATTTTTGATCACCATGAGGTTACGTTTTATTTGATCAAAAATATGGTAATAATCGTTTTGTATTTGTATTAATTGTCAAATGTAATGTACTTCTGTGGTCATAGCTGAATTTTCAGCATCATTAGTGTCACATGATCCTTTAGAAATCATTCTAATGTACTGATTTTCTGCTCAAGAAACATGTCTTACTATTATCAATGAAGAAAACAGTTGTGCTGTTTCATATTTTTGTGGAAACCATGATTCATTTACATTCTCGGGATTCTTTAATTAATATAACGTTCAAAAGAACAGCATTTGTTTGAAATACAAATATTTTGTAACATTATAAATGTATTTAACTTGTGTTCAATTTATTGGATCCTTGATGAATTAAAATTTTAATTATTTAAATTATATAATTTTATTGTAAAGCACTGTGTAACTTTAGTTTGAAAGGTGCTATATAAATAGTAATAAATATAAATTTAAATAAAAAAAATTAAAAGGTATCAATTTCTTTCAAAAAAATAAATAAAAATAAAATAATAATCTTACGGACCACAAACTTTTGGCAGGTACTTTACCTCATCAGCTGACTGTTTCCAATAAAGCAACACATTTGCTGGCCTCTGACAATAACCTTTTAAACTATGACACTTTAAACGTTGAAACTTCTGAAAATCTTTGAATTAGAAGCGAATTAATTAATCCAAATGAAATGTTTCATTGTTCGCCAGGCAAAATCTTAGGTCTGATCACTTAAATTTATCAAAAACAAGCCAATCTGAGGAATGATTAGCACAAATAGTGAGGGATGAAACGTATAACTAAATGTACTAAACTAAAAGTTCTTAGAAATTAACTCTTTGTATTCACATTGGTTTTGTATGGTTTTGAAACACTTTTATACCATTTTCAGCAAATGACGAAACTAATGATTCTAAAAATGTCACATGGTATGTATTCATTACACCTTGAATACGTGTATAATTGCATATATCTTAATCATTAGCCATGTTATTATGTTATACAAATCGACGTAAAAGCATTTTAACAAGTATAATGAATAGTGAATCAATATTTGCCATACTATTTATGAGGTTTCTCCTAAAATTACGATATGATGACTCATTATGATATCAGAGTTTTGTATCACCACTATTTTTTTTTATCACAATGTATTGGAATGAATTGAATCAACACTGGAACTTAATAACTACATTGCTGCCTACTGTAGAACTGCTTATAGCTGAACTGACCTCGTTTCAAACTGGTGAACTTCACACTGTTATTGATCTAAACTGACTTGTGCTAAATAAAGACACTATTGTCTTTTGGAGCTGCTTAACAGCAGAATCTGAACTGTCTCCATAGTTGAGATTCTGCTACTTCCCTGTTTATCTCTCTGAAATTGCTTTGATGCAATCTGTATTACATAAAGCGCTCCAGAAATTAGGGTGACTTGACATTTTTTTTCCTCATGCCGCCCAAAAAATGCTAAAATGAATTTTAATTATGATTAAACATGTTAATCATGGAAACTGTATATTCAATCAATCCTCTGCATGAATCTGTACATTTTGAAAAAATGATTAGATCCTAATACTATGGGCTACAGGCCTGTTTAAATCCTCAACATGAAGAATGAACAAAAGTAATAGTGATGCTTGCCTTAGTAGCAGAAATACTTCCACAGTACCCACAAAATGTTGACGCTGGAGGTTATTGGCAGGGACTCTTACCGTGTAAAGTGGTCTGTGAGGCTGCCCACCAACTCCCCTACACGGTCCTGATTTGGGTTGAGTTGACCCCTCTGTAGGTGCACTAGAAAGTCATCCTGAGAGGCAGTATGTAGCGCCACCATCTGGTCACTGCCACTTGTTACGCTCACACCAACCACCTGTGAGATTGAAGAGAGTGTAAACCAGCAATACAAACACATGAAAACACATTAACACGTTGCATAGCATGTGTTGCTGCACAATGAAGTCAAAGCATGTGCGTCTAATAAATCCATCTTCCCTGAGTCCGACAGATCCATTTTTCTGCCAACCAATGGCATTCAGTCAACCTCTGGCTTTGCAATCAGAGTAAAAGCTCATTCACAACACAATCACTTCCTGCGCTTCAGCACATGATTGACTCCGTAACCTTGAGAATGAGTAATCTGCTGGAAATAATCGTGAATGAATGACTTGATTGTTGCAGTTACTCAAAGAGTGTGACCAATCGACGTTGTGCATCAGTGAAATGTGTGCCTGGCTGGTACGCATGACTCTGAGATTAGAAACGGTCCTGGGGATGCTGTCGCATGAGCATGCACACCCATGTGCGTTATATGCTTTAAAATCCCATGAAATCATGCCCTAACTGTGGCAGATACACATTTGAATATACAGTCTCTTGTAGGAAAAATATTGATGATTCATCCTGCACTGCACATATATTTTTGTCCAATTAAACGGTCCCTAAGAAAAAAAAATTCCCAGTAATATTGCCAGCAGCCAACTTACGAGTGTCATTTTATTATTTACAGAGGCAAGAGAAATTATGTGAACCTATTGGTATTGGTTGTTTTTCTGCATTAATTAGTAATGAAATGTCATCTGATCTTCATCAAACGCAAACAATTAAACTCTTTTATGTCTTTATTGAACATTAAACATTCACAGTACTGTGGAGAAAGTAAGTGAACTTTACCTAGTTGCCTACATAGTTGTTTATGAGTCCCTTGCTTGTCACTATTCTTCAGAAACAAATCATCCAGGTCCTGCGCATTCTTTGGTTTTCCAGCATATTCTGCATATTTGAACCTTTTACAGCAATGACGGTATGACATTTTATGACCAATTAATGCAGAAAACCAATTCCAATGGGTTCACATACTTTTTCTCACCACAGCATATACTATTACAGCATTTTTTTAATACGGCGATTTAATGTTTATTTTTATATTTTCAGTTTTATTTTTAACTTAAGTTGTGTTTTTGTCATTTTATTAGCCTTTTAAACATAGCTTGAATTTATTTTTATTTCAGTTTTAGTAATTCAACTTCAACTTATTTCAGATAGCTTCCAAGGCAGCATTTCTAATTTTCTAATTTTCTAATTTTCTTTTCTTTTTAAAGTTCAAGTTTCATCTAATATTTATATTTTGATATTTATATTTCAGCTTTATTTAAATTACCAAAAACAATTTTTAATAGTTTTAATTTTAGTTAACAATAAGAACACTGTGGGTAAAAAAATCACAGGCTATGTTCAGAATGTAATACTAGAAATATTATTTTCATACTGCACAGTATATTACCAGTTATTTGTAAAATGTCTTGATATTTGGTGGTCCAATCAAACAAGAAAGTTTGGAAAGAGATTTTAAAAATAATAGAACATTATTTCTTGTTTAGTCAAAACATCAATTTGAGCTTACTGCTTTATATGCCTACATAAAATAATACTTGCATATTGTGCACTGTATGTGCACAGTATGGCTGTGACAAAACTAAAGCCTCTTGGCTATTTAAAAAACAGGCCTTCTTTATGTTCAAGGGGTCTTTTGAGGTTCATTAAAGGCCAGTGTGTTGTTCTGAGTGTACATTATGAACAGCAGTAGGTGCGTCACCACTGTGCCTGCAAGAAACAGAGTGATCAGGCAGCGTTAAGCCTCTTTACTGCCACTTGGATGGACACACACAGACAAACATGCGGGCATACACACACACACACACACACACACAGGTTAATCGCTCTGTGCCCTGCAGTACATGCGGCTGACCTTGCTGTCTGAGATTTTGAGAAATGAGGGTGGGCTTCCTGCACTGTGTTCCATTCAAACAGACACACACATACACACAAAGACCTAAATAGCATTTCTGCAGTCACTTTCAAACAGTATGAAATGCTGTGGATTTCAAAGATGTAACACATGATTAACTGTGATAAATGATAGAATAAGTATGGAATGGATAAAAAGGATAGTTGTGGTTCTGGATGCTGATTGGTCAATACACAGTTAAAATAAAACAAAATAAAATAAAATAAAATAAATCCTGTTCAAAAGTTTGAGGTCGGTAAGATTTTTTTTATATTTTTGAAAGAAGTCTCACCAAGGCTGCATTTATTTGATTAAAAAATACAGTAAAAAAGCAATACCGTTTAAAATAACTCACTACTATTTTAATATATTTTAATAATATAATTTATTCCTGTGATCAAATCTGAATTTTCAGCATCATTACTCCAGTCTTCAGTGTCATATGATCCTTCAGAAATCATAATAATATGCTGATTTGCTGCTCATGAAACAGGTCTGACTATTATCAATGTTGAAAACAGTTGTGCTGCTTCATATTTTTTATTTTTTATTTTTTTTGCAAATGTTATACATATTTTTTTTCAGGACACCAAGAGCTTGTAACACTCCAAAGAGAAAGGAAAAATTGAAATCGCATCATATGACCCCTTTAATAAACAGATTGATTTAATGCATCCTTTCTGTATAACAACATTGACATTACTTACTGCAAACGTTTGAATGGTAGTGTATAAGGATGATGTTTTAATAACACATTTAACTGCACATATGATTATAATAAACGAGGCTGCTTTTCCCAAAAGCATTGTAAGCCTAAGTTGATCGTAGGACCCTTGTCACCAATGGAGCTACATTAAACTTAGGTTTACGATGCTTTTGGGAAACGTAGCCCTGAACAAATACAAAATACAATATAGTTATGGTTATAGTTATCATAATAATTGTGAACGGGCTGTAGGGTTGCCCTGTCTGTGTCTGCTGCTCTAGAATATCAGCTGACACGATCAGCCCCCTGTGCCACGCAGAGCGTAGTGCGTCAGTCTGTGGTGAAATTAGATTAAAACCACAATGTTCTGGGCTGTCACAAAACAATATCCTTATAATAATAATAATAATAATAATAATAATAAAAACTACCACAGTTACATCCATATACTAAATTGCATGTGGTTGGTTGATTGATACAACACATTATTTGAGAATCACCACTGAGAATAATGAAAATTAAAAAAAGAATTTAAAAAGTGAAATGTCCAGATGCATTACACTAATGAGAATTATAGGGATAAATGTGCTTAACTGTCATCAAAATAATGTATAAATTGCAAATAATCACGATGCTCCTTAAAATAAGCTTTATTTCCTTTGTGCATTTTTATGTATTATCTTTCTTAGAATTTGGGGTGAAATAGGATTTTTGTGAGATTGACTTAGCAGTATACAAACTTTTTTTTTTTTTTTGCGCTATTCTGCTATCTTTTGAATATTCAAATCTGTAAACATCATAATGACAGCTGTAGCATGGAAATTATGTGTTAAAGAGTATGTGTGCATAATTGGCATGATTCAGTGCTATACTGCAGCTCTTGCTGAACTGCCCAATCGCTTATCTCTATCTCTCGCTCTCTGAGACGTCTGGTCCTGCTTCCGCTAGAGACGTGTGAAACATACAGATATGGTAAAAATGGCAGGTTTAATGTGTGTGTATGTGATTGTGAAGTGGAGCTCAGACTGCAGTGCTGCACTGTGTGTCCAAATCCCTCTCTCACTGTATCGCATCTGAGAACGTAGACAGAATGTAGGTCAGACAACTCACACACAGACTGTTCTGGTCACTGAATTCACTCCGACGCAGCCAGAAGTTTGTGAATGACCCTGTTAAACCATCTGATGTGGCTGGTCATATGGAGCATTAGTGCTGTCATCTAATAAGAGAGACCAGTTGGTAGTTGTAGGCAAAAATCCATAAGCTAAAGACAAGGGACACATGCTACGGAGAGTCAGGAGACAGCGAGTCTGCAGCAGACAGATGCACTGACCCACATTGCACAGTTACATAAAACAAAAACAAAACCCAGACAATGACAGATACCAAGACATGTCTGCTTTGTTTTTGAGGCTTCATTTCACACTCTTAAGAATAGTTTTCATTTAAGTTCTTTGGGAAACCAAAAATGGTTCTTGCATAAAAATGCTCCGAAACCCCCCTTTTTGGACCCTTTATTTCTAAGAGTGATATGCATGTAAAAGTGTGTGTGATTGGGTGTTCATATGCCTGAAATACTTACTGAATCAAGTGATATTCGTTTTTGCACTTTAAAGTGTTTTTTGGGCTCCAGCCTGTAGATATGCTTGTCTGTGATGAGTAGAGCTCTGTCCTTTGTGTTGTTGAACCAGTTGAGCTGGAGAAAAGAGAGATCAGGAGAGAAAAAAAGCAGAAATTAGGGGAACTAGCTTCCTCTGTCTGAGCTTGACTACAATTATAAGTTACAATGATATTCAGGGCTTGAAATTCATGAGCAACCTTTGCATCAGCACCGTTGGTATGTTTATGTACTGCTCCTCTATTGTACTGCATGTTCCTGCCTTTAAAAATAGCTTGTGAATTTGGGTTGGTGGTGTGGTTGAGTCTCGCTGGGAAGGGAAGATAAACTGGACCACTGGTAGCAGCATCTATAGCTGCAGTGGTATGATAGAGAGTGTGTATTACAGTCTTTGCTCAAGGCAGTCAAACACTGAGCACTCGGCTGTGCTTGTGATCTCCATGTTGGCTACGGTCAGAGGCGCTCATGACATGAGTGAGAAAATGAGAAAGTGAATAAGACTTGGAGTTTGGTGAAAGAGGGTGTGTGTGTGTGTGTGTGTGAGAGAGAGAGAAAGACTATCGTTTTGTCATGTTTATCCTACATATTAACTGTATGTTACTTTTTTTTCTTGGTTCACTCCTCATAATTTAATCTTATTTTGTTTTGCATTCCTATTAATGTTTTTCTGTTAATAGTACTTATTTACTCCATTCATACTCTTATTTTACTTTTTTAGTATTGTTTGCTCACTCCTTCACATTGTTATTTTATTTGCTAACATTGCTTGTTTACTCCATTTGCACTAATGTTATTTTGTTTTATTTGCTAATATTGCTTGATTTTCATTCACACTATTAATCATTTATTTTATTTTATTTTATAACATTGCTTCGATACTCTAATCTCACTGTTGGAATTTTACTTTATTTGTTAACACTGGTAGTTAACTCAATCCAACTATTATTTTATTTTATTTGATAATATTGCTTCTTTATTCCATTTGCACTATTGTTATTTTGTTTATTTGCTAATCTTGCTTGATTATATAATTCACACTATTACACATTTTTTAATTTAATTTAATTTTATTTTATTTATAACATTGCTTGTATAATCTCACTGTTGGAATTTTACTTTATTTGTTAACATTGCTAGTTTACTCCAATCACACTATTGTTTTTTTTATTTTATTTGATAATATTGCTTGTTTACTCCAATCACACTATTGTTATTTGCTTATTTATTCCAGTCACACTATTGTTAATTTATTTGATAATATTGCTTATTTACTCCAGTCACACTATTGTTAATTTATTTGATAATATTGCTTATTTACTCCAGTCACACTATTGTTAATTTATTTGATAATATTGCTTATTTATTCCAGTCACACTATTGTTATTTTATATGATAATATTGCTTATTTACTCAATTTACACTATTGTGATTTTATTTTATATGATAATATTGCTTGTTTACTCCTTTCACACTATTATTTTATTTTATTTGATAATATTGCTTATTTACTCCAGTCACACTATTGTTATTTTATTTTTTAGATAATGCTTATTTACTCCACTTGCACTATTGTTATTTACTTTGTCAATATTACTTATTTACTTTGCTCAGTTATTTTAGATTATTTTACTTTATTTCTGTTTGCTTTTTCACAGTTTATTCCTTTTTTCCCGCCATTGTTATTTTACATTATTTCTTAGTTCAGCTATACCCTGCAAATGCTTTAGCAATACAAATGCACAGTTTTTGTCATTTAATAACAGGGAAATTTAAATGTAAAAAAACCTACCATCCTGACAGAGCATGAAAAGAGGACCTGGCTGTATGGGTCTTTGTTCTTCAGCTCTTTAGTGATGCGCACAAAGTTGGTGCTCGTCAGAGGAGAGTCTTTTGCCTGCAGTGGAGAGACGCATTACTGGATTTATGACACAAAATTCTGAGAAGCTTAGTCACACAAGCAACACAAACAACAAGCACACTTATGCTTCCATGGTTTCCTTGATATCAATTCAAATCAATGCATGACGGGTTTAAAAACACTGTCATCATCGTCACCAGCCCACTCCACTAATGCGTCAAACAGACATGACACCTTATCTGCAACAACAGATTCTCAACAGCGCTTCATAAATAAGCTTTTGACTCATTTAGATGACCTGAAAACTTCAAAGGTCTTTGAAAGCTCATCTGTTATAGCCGATATAAACTGCGACGACAGGAACGAGCATTCATGCATTTTGTGAGCGCTAAAAACATGTGTTGTGAAATACAGAAGTCACAATAAATGTTGCTGAGAAAAAATCCTACAGAATTCTTAGAAAGAAAAGAAAGCTCTTCTTCGAATACTGTATAGAGCACATGGACTTGTTTCATGGATTTTAGTTCAAGAGAGATTTTTTTTTTGCTCGTCCTTGAAAATGTCAAAGAATATGCAAAGAAAAATGTAAAAAAAACAAAAAAAACAACAACAGATAAAACAGTTTATATCGAGAAAAGTCTAAAAAAAAATTCTCAAGAAGAAATAAAGCTTTGGAACAACATGAGCATGAGTACATTTTTTGGTTAACCCTTTGGTTAACTATATTCTCCAGACAGTCAACCAGTTTGGTTAGTTAAAGCAGCATCAAACCAGCATTATCAGCATAAGTATGCCAGGACTAGGCATATGACGGTATGAAATTTTCATGTTGCGATTAATTGCAAATGCTTTTATCATGGTATATGGTATTATCACGGTATTAAGTCTAAATATTTAAGTATTTGGTGCTGTGATGAACACTGTGAATACAAAAATCTGAATGGCTGTTTAAACCATAGATATGTATATGCCAAAGACTACACCAGTCGAACAGATTGATTTGTGTAGTAGAAACTAATTTAAATTTATTAAACTGAAAACTTTAATAAGCTTAATCAATGTAAAAATCCTGCATACTATGTAAAAATACAAAGTGAAAGTTCTAAATGAATAACCTAATGAAAAACTCACACTGGCCAAATAGTCTCTCTCCCAGGCACGGCTGTAGCCCCAGTCCACTCTCTCCCCGCTCAGAGCTGACAGAGCAGCTACTTTTGCCCTCACCTCCGCCATGTCAGATGGGGGGATGTTTTTAATCAGCTGCCGGGCCCACCATCTAAGAGAGAGGCAGTGAAAGCATGAGAGGAAGGCCAAACGGTTAAGAAAAAAACATAAAATCATGAAGTCATGGTATTACCGGCGGTAAAGGTGTTGTGTGATTCTGTGGAACTGCACCAGGGCCGCAGGCGGTGTCGGCCACTCCACACTCTTCCCGTAGTCAGCCATGTTTCGAACGTTGGTAAAACGTCTCTCCACTTCCCAGAAGTGAGCCTTCACCTTATAGCATTTATAATATGCCATTATGGTATATATAGCCCTTATTTTCCTACATCGCATACGTGCTAATGCACCTCTCCAAACCTGCAGAAAAACATATATACAGGTTGAATGAATGTGAGCGAAACACTTTGAAGATACTGTAATTTAAAAGTGTAATTTATATATTAATATAAAATATGCCCATTTTATTCAGTATTTGACTGATGTAAAATAGTTCCATCTAATTTAAAATACACAAATATTCAATTTCACCCAATAATATTGTGTGAGCAACCAAATTATTCCCTTATTTTGGATAGAATGATGCAGGCAGTGGGCATAGAGGCAGCTATATACTGTTGGGAAGAGTTTTATTATATCTAACATACTGTTTAGCATTCATAAGGAAAATAAAAGGAAAAAAAGAATGCAAATTGGGTTTAGGAGTATTGAAGTGTGACTAATGTACAGTAACTCAAATAAACAACTATGAAAGATATGACAGCTGATAGAATGAAGTTTACAAGGTGCAATGAGTTATATGGCAGAGTGAGAAAGATAAAGGTCTGTTTATTCACAATTGATTGAATATATGAGTACAATGAATGAATGACAGAATGAATTATTGAATAAACGAGTGAGTGAATGATCAAAATGATTCAGTGAATAAATGAGTGAGTGAGTGATTAGAAGATTCAGTGAATAATTGAGTGAATGATCAAATGATTCAGTGAATAAATGAGAGAGTGAGTGATTAAATGGTTTAGTGAATGTGTGAGTGAATGATCAAATGATTTAGTGAACAAATGAGTGAATGATCAACTGATTCAATGAATAAATGAGTGACTGAATGATCGAATGATTCAGTGAATAAATGTGTGAGCAAGTGAATGATCAAATGATTCAGTGAATAAATGAGTAAATGACTGATAGAGTGATTTACTGAAAAAATAAGTGAGTGATCAAATGATTCAGTGAATAAATTACTGAGTGAATGATCAAATGATACAGTGAATAAATGAGTGAGTGAGTGAGTAAGTGAGGGAATTAATGATCGAATGATTCAGTGAATAAATGAGTGAGTGAGTGAATGGTTAAGTAAATGTGTGAGTGAATGATCAAATGATTTAGTGAACAAATGAGTGAATGATCAACTGATTCAATGAATAAATGAGTGACTGAATGATCGAATGATTCAGTGAATAAATGTGTGAGCAAGTGAATGATCAAATGATTCAGTGAATAAATGAGTAAATGACTGATAGAGTGATTTACTGAAAAAATAAGTGAGTGATCAAATGATTCAGTGAATAAATTACTGAGTGAATGATCAAATGATACAGTGAATAAATGAGTGAGTGAGTGAGTAAGTGAGGGAATTAATGACCAAATGATTCAGTAAATAAATGAGTGAGCGAGTGAATGAATGAATTATTAGAAGATTCAGTGAATAACTGAGTTAGTGAATGATCAGATGATTTACTAAATTGAGTGAGTGAGTGATTGGGTGAAGGATTGAATAATTCAGTAAATAAATTAGTGAGTGATCACATGATTCATGAATAAACTATTGAGTGAGTGAATGATTCAGGGAATAAATGAGTGAGTGAGTAAGTGAGACGGTCAGGTGGACAGAAACATGGCACCTGCACCTGCTGAGTTTTGACTAAGTTGTCCTTTAGTTTAAGTCAGGCAGCATTAAGTGGGACAGAAGTGAAATCAGGACAACTCACAATGCAGATGAATAATTGAATGCAACAAGAATAATCCACCAATCATAATCATTATCACAATCACTGTTATTAGAGTCACATACAGCCTACACACCGGATGAATGAGTGGGAAAACCTAGAAATAATGAGCAGATATATTTATATTCATATCCTCATGTATGAGCCAAGTATAATTGTTCAAAGCAGATTTAAATCAACATGTACTGTACATCCCATACAAATAAATATTGGTTTATAACATTCCTAAGTGCAAATAAACATTGCTTTACATATATACAGATATATTTATATCGGCTTTGAGTAGAAATGGTTTCCCATAAACAATAAAACATGTAGACGAGAACGTAAATATAGATTTCTGCTCAGCAAGATCAAATGTATGAGGTTGTAAAGACTGACTGAAGTGGAGGTGCAGAGGGAGCTGCTGTCTAGGTGTTATGATCCCACTCCACTGTCATATCACCTCTGAACACATAAAAAAAACTTAAGGAGTCAAGAATGATTGAGGCAGCTACAAAGAGCAAGAAAACCGAGAAATGAAAGAGGAGGAGGAGAAAGACAGGAAGAAGCAGAGGTACAGTCTCAAGAACAACAATAAACAATGTTGATAGACAGAGACCTAAAGCGCCCCAGGAAACTGACAGCTAGAGAGGGAAAAGTGAAAAGAGAGTGTCTGTCACCTTCTGTAAGAAGAGCACTAGTATGGGGATGAGTGCGGCTCTCTCTTGCTCCAGTGTAAAGAGTGTGCGAGGTGTTCTCACGAAGAGTTTGGTGTGGCCGTACGCTACATCGTCCTCAAAGCCGTGCTGGTTCACGATGGCCTCCACTGATCAAATGATTCAGTGAATAAATGAGTAAATGACTGATAGAGTGATTTACTGAAAAAATAAGTGAGTGATCAAATGATTCAGTGAATAAATTACTGAGTGAATGATCAAATGATACAGTGAATAAATGAGTGAGTGAGTGAGTGAGTGAGGGAATTAATGATCGAATGATTCAGTGAATAAATGAGTGAGTGAGTGAATGGTTAAGTAAATGTGTGAGTGAATGATCAAATGATTTAGTGAACAAATGAGTGAATGATCAACTGATTCAATGAATAAATCAGTGAATGAATGATCGAATGATTCAGTGAATAAATGAGTAAGTGTGTGATCAAATGATTCAGTGAATAAATGAGTAAGTGAGTGATCAAATGATTCAGTGAATAAATTACTCAGTGAATGATCAAATGATACAGTGAATAAATGGCTGAGTTAGTGAATGATCAGATGATTTACTAAATTGAGTGAGTGAGTGATTGGGTGAAGGATTGAATAATTCAGTAAATAAATTAGTGAGTGATCACATGATTCATGAATAAACTATTGAGTGAGTGAATGATTCAGGGAATAAATGAGTGAGTGAGTAAGTGAGACGGTCAGGTGGACAGAAACATGGCACCTGCACCTGCTGAGTTTTGACTAAGTTGTCCTTTAGTTTAAGTCAGGCAGCATTAAGTGGGACAGAAGTGAAATCAGGGCAACTCGCAATGCAGATGAATAATTGAATGCAACAAGAATAATCCACCAATCATAATCATTATCACAATCACTGTTATTAGAGTCACATACAGCCTACACACCGGATGAATGAGTGGGAAAACCTAGAAATAATGAGCAGATATATTTATATTCATATCCTCATGTATGAGCCAACTATAATTGTTCAAAGCAGATTTAAATCAACATGTACTGTACATCCCATACAAATAAATATTGGTTTATAACATTCCTAAGTGCAAATAAACATTGCTTTACATATATACAGATATATTTATATCGGCTTTGAGTAGAAATGGTTTCCCATAAACAATAAAACATGTAGACGAGAACGTAAATATAGATTTCTGCTCAGCAAGATCAAATGTATGAGGTTGTAAAGACTGACTGAAGTGGAGGTGCAGAGGGAGCTGCTGTCTAGGTGTTATGATCCCACTCCACTGTCATATCACCTCTGAACACATAAAAAAAACTTAAGGAGTCAAGAATGATTGAGGCAGCTACAAAGAGCAAGAAAACCGAGAAATGAAAGAGGAGGAGGAGAAAGACAGGAAGAAGCAGAGGTACAGTCTCAAGAACAACAATAAACAATGTTGATAGACAGAGACCTAAAGCGCCCCAGGAAACTGACAGCTAGAGAGGGAAAAGTGAAAAGAGAGTGTCTGTCACCTTCTGTAAGAAGAGCACTAGTATGGGGATGAGTGCGGCTCTCTCTTGCTCCAGTGTAAAGAGTGTGCGAGGTGTTCTCACGAAGAGCTTGGTGTGGCCGTACGCTACATCGTCCTCAAAGCCGTGCTGGTTCACGATGGCCTCCACAGCCTCCTGGTCAGAGCTCATCAGGTGATTAGGCCAGGTGTATTCACAGGTCATCTTGTACCTGAGCATGAAGATAAAGGTCAGAATTTATTTCAGAATTTTATTTATATTTATTACATTATGCATTTGTCAGATGTTTCAGTGCATTTAGCACCTACTTTTTATTCTAGGTGCCTAGTGAACAAAATGCATTTTTGACTGAAATAGCACATTCTATGTGGTACCATTGTATAGTGTATCTTTATAGAAATACTAATTTAATAGAATATTTTCATTTTGGTTCACCAGCTACCAGCACTATTTAAGAGAAAACGCCAATGAATTTTGGCTAGTGGATTTTGCATACCTGAGCCACTCCCCGTGCATACGAGTATAAATAGGCGGCAGGTGCATCCACTCTTCAGATTTTTGCTTCGGAGCCGAGTGGATGAACATGTTTAATCTCCACAAAGCCATTTCATCATCTGTCTGGAAGCTGTTCTGGTTGGCGTTACGGTGCGAACAGCGGTGTCCCTGTCTCCAGCGATTCCCCTGGGCACTTCAACTGAAAGAGCAGATTTCCTAAAAGAAGGAGCTGACGAAGTCGTGGACGGCCCCTTTTATGGCCAGAATCCGCTCCGTCTCCCTCCTCCGTCCTCACTACCCTCGATGGCGGGGCGGCCAGGGGGTACGTCGACATTCCCCAGGTGGAGAGAGCGGTTGCAGTGCACCTGTGCCTGCAAAACGCCGCCACTTGGAGGATTCGTCCTCGTCTCCCGTCCAAATCCTGTAAGCTGACGGCCGCTCTCATGGCCAAAGCTTACAGTGCTGCGGGCCAGGCTGCCTCTGCCCTGCATGCCATGGCTATCCTGCAAGTACACCAAGCCAAGGCACTAAAACAAATGCACGAGGGTAGCACCGACCCGAGGTTGATGCAGGAGCTGCGCTCAGCGACTGACTTTGCCCTCCGGGCGACGAAAGTCACGGCGCAGTCCCTCAGGAAGGCGATGTCCACTCTGGTGGTCCAAGACTCAACCTGGCAGGGATGAAAGACATCAACAAAGCACGCTTTCTCGACGCTCCCATCTCCCAGGCTGGGCTGCTCGGCGACACTGTTGAGGGCTTTGCCCAGCAGTTCTCGGCAGTGCAGAAGCAGACTGAGGCCATCCAACACATCTTGCCCCGGCATGATGCACCACCAGCCACCGCTGCCCCGTGGGCCAGGCCTCAGTCTGCTCGTCGCCGTGGGCGCCCTCCTGCGTCCTCCACTCCGGCTCCGCCCCGCGCTGAGACTACATCAAGGCCGGCGCGTCGAGCCCCACGCAGGAGAGCGACGCCCCCAATGTCGCATCCGGCTGCTAAGTTCTCTAAGAAGAAG